ATTTTGCTCTGACTTCTCTCTAGTTGTTCCCGCAATAACCCCTCGGATAGGATACCCCCCGGGTAGACTGTCCATCATGTCCAATCAATTTGCAATGAAAGACCTAGGTGATATCCATTTTTTTCTGGGCATTCAAGCTTGTCGCACGTCACATGGTCTCTTTCTTTGTCAACAAAAATATATTACTGATCTCCTTCGCCGGTTCCACCTTCACACGGTAAAATCGGTCCGAACTCCTCTTCCCTCTCGTACCACGTTGTCTCTCACTGATGGTGATCTCCTTAGTGATGGTACTGAGTATCGCAGCATGGTAGGTGCATTACAATATTTGACTATTACCCGACCAGATATTACTTATGCCGTACACTTGGTTTCTCAATTTATGCATGCACCACGTACTACTCATCTAGCTGCCGTGAAAAGAATTTACAGGTATTTACAGGGCACTTCTTCCCACGGCTTGTGGCTTCGTTCTGGTCAGAGTACATCTGTTGTTGTGGCTTATTCAGATGCTGATTGGGCTGGTTGCCCGGATAGTAGCCGCTCCACAACAGGATATGCTATTTTTCTAGGTGGGAATTTGGTGTCCTGGCGTTCCAAGAAACAACCCACAGTGTCAAAATCTTCTACGGAAGCAGAATATCGTGCAGTTGCATACACCGTACAAGACACATTATGTATGCGGTCTCTTTTGCACGACATGGGCATTGTTCTTCCTAATCCAGTACAGTTATTTTGTGACAATGTCTCAGCTTCCTATCTTGCAGTCAATCCCATTCAGCACGATCGCAGTAAACACATCAAGATTGACTACCATTTTGTTCGTGAACGGGTTGCTCATGGTGATCTTATGGTCAAATACATTCCCACTCAGTACCAGCTGGCGGACATTTTTACCAAAAATTTAACTAGTCAGCGTTTTGAATTTTTACGTTCCAATCTGTACGTAATTTCTCCCGCACAGATTGAGGGGGTGTAATAGCGTGTTATTATTATTAGTATTAAGGACCTATGTGTAATTATTGTTTATTGATTTGTATAAATACACCTCTAGGGCTACCACAATGGCAGGCCACTATTCTCCAACCTTATTATTTCACACCAACCCTCAAGCTGTCCAGCACCAATTATAATTTCTTTTCCTCGCTCTTTCTTCAATTCTGCTTTATCCTCTGACCAAATTAAGCTTAAATTTATTTTGAGCTTCAGCTCATTCGGCAATTAATTAATTGTTTTAGCTATTGTTATCATCATCTGTCGTACGTCAAGGACCAATTCATTGAATTGCGGATTGAATCGATGAAGCATCAATATTGCCGAAATGAATTTTTATTGCAGTTGAATTTTATAAGATTGAATAAAAACCTTCATTTTTCGTCCATTTAATTTAATTTATTTAATAAATGTAATGTTAATTTCTTTTTTTTTTGAAAGGAAAGCTGACTGATTATATTAGAATCCAAACAATAAAGAAATTACAAACCTATCCATACGAAGCAGTCTCCTCCTACCAAACTCACTATAACCCGAAGGTCCTCTCGCTCTCTGATTAGACATAGAAACGACCACCCTAATGAGAGCGGATCGAATCGCTAACCATGTGAGAGATTTGAAGATCAACTCGACTTCTGAAGCCATCATACTTCTCCAACAATAATACCTACCTACCTCATCAGAAACTGCCCAAATAACATAAAAACCAAAACTAAGGACACACAGGGAAATAACAACGGGAGAAAGCAAACTAAGTTTCGACTGGTGGGACAGTAAAATCCAGACGCTAGTCCTGGGGCTCCTCTGTGGTGGCGGTTCTGGAGGGGGACGAGTCAACCACGCTCTGTCTTCGTCCTCCACCCCTTGAGTCACCCGCATTGATCCCTCAAGCGCCAAACTAGGTCCCAAAATCGCCCCTTCTACCGGACTCCTCACCGCCAAAATTCCACCCGGATCAAACACAGGTGGTGTAGCTTTCATCTCATACACTAACAAAACCAGAATAGTCAACCCAATCATCCCGAAAGTCGGATCTCGCAAGCCTAACTTCACAGTAGCTTTCGAAGCCATTGGAAATCGTCGACATCGAATATGGGGAAAACAGCAAATCCGGACCTACTCACCAACTGAGAGATCTTTCGTCTTCTTCCAGACCAGATCCAACGCTGCCCTGGGTGATTCAATAGCCTCCTCCTGCTCGCCAATGAACTGGAGCCGCGCCTGAGGAAGCCCCTGCACCTCCGCCCAGATCGTGCGCCACCGAGCAGAAACTAACGCGAAACAGAGCTCGCCCAGACCAAAGTTGTAGCCCTGCCTTCGTCCAGTCACACAACACTAACCAGAACGATCGCACCTTTTCGGAAAGAGACCGGCCGTCGATCACCAAACTAACCCTAGACTAGCTAGGTCGTCCGCCTTCTGTGTGGAGTATAGAGAGATATGTTCCCAGTTCCTATTCACTTGATCAACGTAATGTTAGTTTCTTTGGCAACCCAACATTAGAACATCTTTAATCACAATATCATAAAAAATACCCGTGGTAGTAAATCCAAACATAACATTTCAACCTAATTTACGTTTTACCGAACCGGCTTTTATCGCCACACACACATGCAAACTTATTTTTATTAACTACTCCCTCCAGTTTTTATTAAACTTCACACTTTCCTTTTTGGGACGGTCTAAAATAAACTTCACAATTCCTTATTTCCTTTTTTGGCAAAGAAATCTACATCAAAACAGTGTCAAACAGTGTCAAACAGTGTCTCAACAGTGCCAAACAGCGTCTCAACAGTGCTAAATAGTGTCAAACAGTGTCTCAACAGTCTACTCTACAGTAAAGTCAAATTTCTTTCCTTATTTTGTGTGAAGTCAAAGTGTGAAGTTTAATAAAAACCGGAGGTAGTATTATAAATCATCCTTCGTATTAATCTTTTTTGTTTTTCACGTAATTTATGAAATATTATAAATTTATTGTACAATTTATAAAAAGTGATACTCCCTCCGTCCACTTTTAAATGTCTCATTTTACCATAATGGGATGTCCCTATTTAATTGTCACATACCTTATTTGGTAAAGTTTGTGTGGCTCAAAATCATTCTTACTTTATTCTTACTTTATTCTTACTTTATCAATTAATATCAACCACACAAACCCACTTTTCTTAAAACTCGTGTCACCCTCTTCCGGGACATTTAAAAGGGGACGGAGGGAGTACTTTATAAATACTTTAGCAGTATTTTATATTTTATTAAAACGTGGAATAACTAGGGTTGTAAACGAACTGAATCGAGTCGAATAGTGTGATTTTATATTTGTATTTGTGTAAATTTTTCGAATACAAATCCGAATTCAAATATGAAACGAATGTTATTTTTGATTTGTATTTGTATTTGTTTAACAATACAAATAGTTAACGAATCATATACGAATATCGAATCGATTTGATCATAAGTTAAATATTAGTCAAATATCACTCAAAAACAAATTTTCCTATGTTTCTTATGTTATAAATGCATGCTATGACTTAATATGTGTTTTAGAATTTAATTTGTAATATTACATTTTTCCTTTAAGTTTAATGGTACAGTTCGATGCACTTTTAGGTTGTGCACAATATACTAAAGTGAATCAATGTTATGATTACTATCCATAAATATTTTTCAAAGTTTTTGAAATAAACACTAACATGCACACATTAGAAATTATACATATAATGTGTGAAATGAATTGATAATTGAATATATTCTATACTTTCGAATTTAAATCTTAATTTGTGAATCCAAAACACGAATCAAATTAAAATCATTTGTTTCGATTGCAACCCTCACTCCTTATGTTACTTAAATGTATATATGGGCTACACTTTGAGGGTATGGCTAGCTTTTAAAAGTTATTATAGTGTTATTACTATTATTATTACTATTAATAATATTATCACTAATATTAATCGAATATATTTGATTAACATTCGAATCGAATATAGTGATATTCATATTTGTATTTGATAACAATTCGAATCAAATTTAGTATTCTTATTTGTATTTGTATTTGAATTTTTCGAATACAAATCGTCTTATACGAATTCAAATCGCGAATCGAGCATAAATTATTTGATTCGTTTACAACCCTAGGAATAACTGCTTCATTGCTTTTAGGTTGGGTTTCTTTTCAAAGTGGAAATAAGACAAATAATTGCATCCATGTGATGATTTTTTAGTATGTGAGCTTATACATTATTTTCAAATCAGTATAAGGATTTATTTGACATTTTCCTTACTGAGGGTAGTTAGACAGATTAATTGAAACTGAATTACCTACATTAGGCTAGCCGTTCGCCGCTCACTGTTCACCGTTCACAGCACTTCGAAGTTCACCGTCAAAAGAGATGGTGAGCAGATCGGAGGAGATGACAAGGATGAGAGAAGATGGGGACTCTATCAGAAAAGAAGTGAGGGAAGAAGATCGGATATGCCATGAGCTGCTGTGAGCGAAGAAGATTGATGATATGGAACTGATATGGGATTTGATTTATTACGATTAACCTCGTATTCGAATTCAGACAACTCCTATAAAAGGTTACTGTGCAAAAAATACATAGTGAGAGACTCACCGGTTATTCACCTTGATGAAAGTCCAATTTACATCATTCCAACTAACTGCTCAGTGCGATTTTGAGACTCTCAAGGGGGTGGAGGTTATTGTTCAATTCCCACCTAGGGACATTAGAGACCAGTTCATGGGTTACAACATTATGCGAGGAGCGTGAGCCTCAATACATTATACACACTCATCTCTTATAATATCTCTAAAATGTCTAGTACACAGTATAATAAAATAAAAATTTTGTGATTGGGATTTGTGTAGTAGAGAGTCAATTAACAAAAAAAATTATTACTTAAGAAATACTCTGTATAAAACAAAATTATTGAAGCATTTAAGAAAGAAAGTTGACAAAATTAAAGGACTAAAAAAGAAATCCATAAACTCGTACAAAAGACTCCTACAAAACGGAGAGTACTGTGAAAGTGCGAAGAATATAAAATTCGCCGCGCCCGATACGTACAATATCCTACGGAGTATGTAGACAGAGAAAAAGATTTCTCAAAACTGAAATTGAATGCACAAACATTTCTTATGACGGTGCATTCTTCCTTCTCTTCAGAATTCTGAAGAATTCATAAGGAACTCGTAAGATTGGGGGAGTGAGAGGGGAGACGATTTCCAGTTTGTCTCCATCTCTCTCAATCTTCCCCTGGTTTCTTCTCAGACATTCATAGAACCAGCAGATTATGGATATGAGATTTCCACCTTTTGTATATACAAGTCATGCAGCTCTGTAGAGACATTTATTATGGATCAAAAGCTTTCGTTACGCCATTTCTGATTTTCCGTATCAACCCCCGTCCCCCTCTTTATATGTAAACTTTTTTTCCCCCACGCCTTCCAGAAATTTCCATGTTTTCCTCTGCCGTTATGTTTTGAAAACCCTAGCTGGTTGAATTTGGAGTTTCGGTTTTGAACTCTGTTCAATGGGGTATCATGGTAGCGGTGGCGGACCTGGTTGCTCTAGAGGGCCTAGAGTGGATGATCGTTTGGCCACGACTCATCCTGATCCCTCGGTCATTGGCGAGGAATGCTGGTCATCTGCCGAAGAAACCACCACGGAGTTGGTGAATTGTATCCATCCCACGATGGATTCCGAGGAGAAGAGGAAGGACGTCATGGAGTTTGTCCAGAAACTGATAAGAGATTCTCTTTCTTGCGAGGTTTCATGCTTTTCACAATTCTCTTTTACATTCCCGCTTTTATGTTCCCTGTGTGATTCTGCTAGTATACTTCGTGCATTATGTCCATTGGTGCTGGAATGAGTAAAATCAAGTGTTTATTCTGCTTCAATGTAAAAAATTTATTTTCAAAATGGGTGGGCGACGTACTTTGTGAGTTTGGCAGTTCCTTGGAGAACCCAGATTTTGATGTCCGAACTCCAAAGCATTAGATGATTGTTCTGGAGAGTTTTTATGCTAGATCGCCCTTTGGCAGATTTATATGACACGTCTGTGTCTTTAAGATTTTGATATCAAATTCATTTTAGCAGTGGTGTATTATTATCAGTTCACACTGTATTTTCTTTGGGTAGCAGGTGATTAAGATTTTCACTTTTACTGTGTACATTCATTGATTCAATAGAATCAATACCTACCCATGTGCACATTTTATATACGCGCCTCACCCCTGGCGTAGGCCCTATGCTGTGGATCAAGTTGACTATTCAGAGCCTAAGGCCCCCACTATTGTGGGCCATCATTTTTTTGTTCCAAGAAAGATGAAAACGAGGATGAATTGGGAGGCTGGTACTGTATCAGTGGTAAATCATACGGAGTACGTAGTAATTGTAGATGACCTTTTAAAAAGATAACCAAAAGCATTTACATAGGGAATTACATTTTTCCCATAGGCAATCCGCAATCACATATCTGGCGCCAACTCAGCCAAGGAGGTCTATATATCATTAGATCCATAACTTAAATTATTACTCCGCAGGTCTTATTTCACACACTCCTGTACAGTAATGAGTCGATGGGGTACAGTAGTTTTTAAAGAGACTTGTTTGAGGTTAGAGCAATGCTATGGGTACCCCACTCTCATTTGTGGCCACACATTAGGGTGGGTAAAAATGGCTATCCCATTTTGGGGTATTTTAGCATTTTACTTGAGGTTATAGTTATAGACTTATAGTGAAGAATACCACTATAAAATGATTTCTGGAGGTCATGAGCTCGTTTGATATCAATGAAATTGAGTTAACCGGTTTATTATGCTTAAATTTATGAAGTTTTAGTTGAAGTGCCTGAATTGTCTTATTTATGAAAAATTATATTTAAAATATATTGTACTAATAAAATAAATAAAAAATTATATGAAAAATAGCTAAAATGATCCTCTACAGTAACTTCAGTCAAAACAACCAAAAAGTAACTTCAATCTTACTTTTTTTTATTATTACACAATTCAGCGCACGAAATCAAAAATTACGTGTTTAGTGAAAAAAAATTGGTTGATTAATCCGATAAGTCGAAATACAGGGTCACCAAACTGACTCCATATGTGTCATTTAACTAATGAAATCATATAAGCTCCTAAAAATTACCTTTCATTAGTGGTTCCTTTTTGAGAGACATGCCTATTACAAAAAAAAGGCAAAAAATAATAATTTTCAGACGCCCCCATGTGTGGACTCTGGAGTATGTTGACCCATGGTCTCTTAACTACTCCCTCCGTCCCGAAATTATCTCTTTCCATTTCGGTCCGTCCCAATTTTATCTCTTTTTTCCCTTTTTGGCAAAGAATTTGTGGTTCACAAGCATTCTTACACATTTCTCTCTCCTCTGCACAACTCTCCACCACACATTTCCCACAATCTTAATTCCCGTGCCCAGTCAAAACTGCAGTCAATTCTGGGACGGAGGGAGTATATACTCCCTCCGTCCCATTAGAAAGTTCTCGCTTTCCTTTTTTGGACGTTCCATATAAAGGTTTTTATTTTCATTGTAGGAAACAATTAACAATCTCAAGTGACAAATTAATCATTAAATATTAAAAATAAGGTTTTTTTACAAGAAAATTACTAAAATAAAACTTATTTACATAAATATGACTATTCATTACTACAACGTAGTGTTGTGGTAACTTAAGTTCAAAACTTGAACTTGAATTACTATGATTTCATTGCTACTCTAGTAACTAGTCATATTTTTGTAACTCATCTTTATTTTAGTCATATTTATGTAATCATTTCTAAAAATAATACATTTATAACATCGCAGTTATCAATACTAACTGCATTATAATATACCTATTAAAATTATTTTTCAAAATATACTCGAACTATTTTATTTAATTATTGTTTAAATAACCGTGCCATTTTGCTATGAAGACTTTCCAATGGGACGGAGGTAGTATATAGTGACTTAATTGCTACCCCCATTATATTGAAAAAAACACTTTTTCAAAATTCTTATTATCTGTCAAAAAACTTGACAAGATTTATTATCCAGCATTCAGATTCTTGTGAATAATTTCAGTGTGTTGAACGGATTCTAGAACTTCAGTGTGATATAATTTCTGTACTTGGTTACAGAAACATTACTTTGTTTAATGAATTTGATTTTACATGGAATGTAACTATATTTGAAAACATAAAATCCCTCTTTAAATAAGTTTCTTTACATAGTATGTTGGTTAATTTTTTATAGGCTTTTCCATATGGATCAGTGCCTCTCAAGACCTATCTTCCGGATGGAGATATTGATTTGACTGCTCTTACTGGTCCTAGTACTGAAGAATATTTGGCGCGTGATGTCCTTGCTCTTCTGAGGGAGGAAGAGCAAAAAGAAAATGCTGAGTATAAAGTCCAGGATACCCAATTCATTGATGCTGAGGTTGTCTTATTCCTGATGCTTCATAAAGTATACGGAGTATTATTTTATGAACTAAGCTGGGTTCTAGAGGCATGTATTGTTGTTTGTTGATTTCATTATGGCATCTAAGGGTATTTATCAAGATACCTATCCTTAGCTCATCTCTTCATTAATGGATGTAGTTTTTAATGTAATAGGGTTTTTGGATAAAATTAACTAGGCAACCTTCAATTTGTTAGGGTTTGTTTGCAGTATACATGGATTGTTAATGTTTTTGTTGTAAAAAGATCTTTCATTCTGAATAATGAGATTTTATAAAGTCGAGCATCTATGGGTTGGTGGATTCATGGAAGACCGTGGGGTGTGATATATCAAGTCGGGGGGTGATTCATTGATTTTGGGTAAATCTAAAATAATTTGTGCGGTTGGTTAAAGTATATGGCATTTGGAATAGTATGGTTTTGGAGTGAGTCAGTTTGAGCCTTTGAGGTGATGGGTTCATTAATAACCTTCATGCAATTTGATATTCCGTAACAAATACTTGTAGAAATTAGAAAAGCTTTGAAAAAACTGACTGTATTTTTTTTCCACTGATGTAACAAAGATATTATACATACAGCCAAAAAATGTGGCTGTACGTATCCTTAATTATCAAATGTAATTCTTTACATGTTGTATTGTACTTTAAAACCCTTTAAAATGATCTTTTAGCTTTCCCATCTGCTAAGAGTCTAATACGATTGGATGTCTGATGGCAGGTTAAACTTGTTAAATGCCTTGTACAAAATGTTGTCATTGACATATCTTTTAATCAGTTAGGAGGTCTCTGCACACTTTGCTTCTTGGAGCAGGTAAAGCATAAATTTCCCTCTCTCTTTCTCTTATTTATTGTGAGGGGGGGGGGGGGGGGGGGGGACTTGCTAAACTTCTGTTTATTGTGAAGGTAAGTAAGAACGGAAAAAGAATATTTGATTAACTATTACTCTCTGTCCCAAAAACAAGTTTCCTTTTGGCTTTATGATGTTTGATCAATGATAAAGTTAACTCATCTCTGACTAGAAATTTACATATTTAGAAAGTGAACTAAATATTCTATTTAACTGCAAAAATCGATTTCGAATGTGATAGTCTCATACTCCGTATATAAAATCAGACATTAAAAGTGAGTTAAGTTGGCTTTAGTCATAGTGAACATGAACTTAATTTTGGGATGGAGGTAGTAGTAAACAATTTTTTAATAAGGTCCGTTTTCTTCAAGTTTTTTTAAGCTTACATAAGTGTATAACTGGATGGCGATGTTTTTGAATAAATTGTAGCTTTTAAAAAAATCTGTCTTTTAATTTTAAATATAGCTAGGCGGTTGAAGATTTATATTTCACCGTTTATATCTTTCCCTTAAATAGCAGACGTAGAGAAATTTTAATTTCCTGGACTAAACATCTGGTGACTAATTTTTTCATTTTTTTAAATCTTGCTGACATTTTGTTCATACAGGTGGATCGTCTTGTTGGCAAGAATCATCTCTTCAAACGCAGTATTATGGTGATAAAGTCCTGGTGTTATTATGAAAGCCGAATCCTTGGTGCTCATCATGGCCTCATATCTACCTATGCATTAGAAACACTGGTCCTATATATCTTCCAGTTTTTTCATTCATCTTTAAATGGTCCTCTAGCGGTAATTGCATGCGGAATTGCATAATTTACCCTATCTTATGGAGAAGTTTGTGCTATTGTATCTCATCAAAGTTCTTTAAATTCTTTTAGGCACTCTATAGATTTTTGGATTACTACAGTAATTTTGATTGGGAGAATTACTGTGTTAGTTTGAATGGGCCGGTTCACAAGGCATCCCTTCCTGAAGTTGTGGGTAAGCAGTAGGTTTGTCTGTTAGATCTGTTTGTTCTAAAATATTTATGAATTTCTTGCACAATTGTGTGTTAGCATTAGGAATTTTGAAATGAAGACAATTTGATATCTTTCCAGATTCATTTTTATATATATATTTTTTATTCTTTAAAGACCAAGAAACATTCATACACATAAAAAATTAAATGTATTGATCATATTTCATTGGCATTTGCATTTTCGGAGATGAAATCAAACACTAGGAAATAGCTTGGGTACCCGTTTCTTCTTCTTCTTCTTCTTCTTCTTCTTCTCCCAAGCATTTCTAGGATGTTTGGTGTGTAGTTCTTTCTTAAATACTGATCATATTTCAGTTTTATCGGCTCACTCAAGATTGGGTATGTTTTCATTTGCAGTTGAGAAGCCTGACAATGGAGCGAATGAGGTATTGCTCAGTGAAGATTTTTTGAGGAACTGTATGGAAATGTTCTCAGTTCCATCCAGTGTTAGTGAAAGCAGCCGCGGAAGACCATTCAAACTAAAGCATCTGAATATAATTGACCCATTGAAGGATAATAACAATCTTGGGCGCAGTGTTCATAGAGGTACAATCAATGAACTTCTATGGCTCACTTTATTAGAAAGTTTGGCCTTTGCACTGCATGTTTCACCCCAATATTTGATCTTGCATCCCATATTTTGTTTTTAATGGAGTGCGCTCCAGAGTGGATCCTTTATATTAGACTTTGTACCCCATGATTTACCTTAATATTTGATTTTGCACTCTGATTCCTCAAACAAAAGCTAACACGATGTTCATTAATGAATTTTCATTTTGTGGTTCTTTTGGTACTAGAAGACATCTCAGGATTAATTTTTTCAAATAAGAACGATAAATGCAGTTGTGCAGGTGGTTGCTCTGTAGCCATACTAGTACTGATACTCCTAATGTCAGGTGGTGGCAGCACGTAACAGGCAGTAACAACTACTGTTGCCACCAGGCAATAGCAACCACAACCGACGGTGGTGCCGGATACTAGTAGCCGCCGTTGGTAGCAGCATTTGACAGTAGTAGCTAGCTACAGAGAAGGAAACACTGATGCAGGATGCTAATATTGATGTAGCTACTGCTACATCAATGCATACATATGGCTGCTGTTCTTATTTGCATATAAAATGTTAAAAGTGATGTTTTCGTAGTTATAAATTGGTTAAGGTGTTATTATGAAATTCTCCCTTTTTATTTTTTCTTCTAAATATATCAGGTCAGTTTATAGTCAATTTGGTTGTGTGTAGGTAATTACTACCGCATACGTAGTGCTTTCAAGTATGGAGCACGCAAGCTTGGTCGGGTTCTCTTATCCCCTCAAGATAAAATTGGAGATGGGGTAAAGAAGTTCTTTGCAAACACCATTGACATGCATGGCCAGAACCCCTTGTATAATTTAAAGAACTCGTCTTCCCTAAAAAATTACCCCAACAGTATGTCGTCATATGAGGATGAAATGCCTTTGAAACCATCAGTTGGCTATTGTGATGATAGTAACAGTAGTGTTGAATGGGAAGATAAATTCAGCCCTTCAATATTAAGAAACGAAGTTGATGCCAAGCTGATGAAAAAACTAGTTAATGAAAATAGTTGCTCCACAACTGAGGTTACTGTATCAGGACATGATCTGGTGGCTCCCACAAAGAGCACGGATTGGGCACCCACCCAAAACGGGCAATTTGATTGTGTTTACGGGAAGCCAGTGTTTGGTTCATTGATAGACCAAAGCGAGATTCTTTCTGAGAGTAGTGCATACCACCAGTCACTGACAGATTACAGTGAGAGTGTCTGTTCTGGTGTTTCGGAAATCTCAACTCCAAAGACAAGCATTTTAGAAAGCTTGCCCCTTGATTTTAGGGAAAGGGACTTGGCCAGCTTAGCGGGCGACGATTTGGAAGTTCTGAATCCTTTAGCTGACCTCACAGGGGATTATGACAGTCATATTCGAAGTTTGGTGTATGGTCAGTGTTGCCACGGGTATGCATCAATGGCATCGTTATTGTTTGATCCCATGTTTAAACCAGCTCACTATCAAGATTTTGAGTATCTGGACACTGTTCATTATTCAAATACGGGTTCGGTTTTTGTGGGACCCGCATTCCTTCCCTCACCTGCTAACAACCACTTACCATCAAATGTTACTTGCTATGAAGAGATAGCTGAAGCAACAATACCAGAACTGTTCATACCAAAGATGGTACTTTCTTCATTTTTGACTAGGAGCCCATTTGGTTAACTTGATTTTTTGCTTATTAGCTTATATAGGCTGGGTTTTTGCACCAAATCTTAATATTGTTTTAGCCTTGGCTGAAATATAAAAAAAAAAGATTGCATTAAGTTCCTTTTAGCTTTATATCTATATTATTTTTATGTACTTTTTCAAGTAACAATTTAATAATAATTTTCTAGATAATTCAACAGATTCAGGAATTTTTGAACCACAACTTCAACTGATCCATTCATTTTAAGTATTACCAAACAGTGCTCAAGTTCTAGTCTATGTTTTTTAATAGCCAAGATTGGGTAAAGAGTGTTTTCTTTTTTGTTGTGAACTGAGGCTGCGTTTGACTTACTCTAATAGGATGTAATTTATTGTACCCAAATATATTGTACTGTAAATTTACATTTAAGAATGCATGCAATTACATCAAGTCTGATTACAGCTTACCATCCTCTACCTAACTTCAATAGTATTTTTTTTTACAGGATCGTTCTTGCAAAATGAAGGGCAGGAGTAAAGAACTCTCCAGTAAAATCCAGTTCCAAAAAGTGTCTAGTAGCAACGGATGCATTCCTGTGGTGTTATCAGAGGCAAACTGTTCCGGAAATGAGGATGATGATGGCAGTGGTGGCGGCAAGCCAGACTGTTATTTCCACTCCCAAAAACCTTCTTGTAAGAAACGTGGGAAGCTTTCTGCATCCAACCAGTATGCCGACCGAGAAGATGAAAATGGTCTCCCGAATTTGCCAAGTGAGATTGAGTTTGGGTCTTTAGGGAAGCTCCCTGACGGTTTTCTTTCAGGCGCTCTTCGTGGTCTAGCCCCACCAAATCTCTCTAAAAAACTAGTATGGTGCAGAAAGGAAAGGTATGGCAGTTTTGCAGGAAGTGATTTACGCATTACATTTGTGTGGGATATTTTTTGACAGGATGCTTTTGGGTTTGTGTATTCCAGGTTTGCAGATCGGTCGTTCCGCCTGAAAAATGAAGAAGAGTTCCCCCCATTGACGCCCATGTGACCTGTGAGGAAGTGCATGAAAATATCCGGAGGCGAGGGTATATGAGACATAAGTTAGCTGCTAACAAACCATAGAAACATTAGTTTTTTTTTTTCATTTAGACAAACGTAATGATAAGAAACAAAAGTAAAGCTATAGCTATATATATACATATTGCATTTGTTAAGGTCATGTAAAAGCCAAGACACTTGCCTATTGGTCGGATGATGAAAAGAAGATAGAAAAAGGGAAAAGGTGCAAATAGGCCCATGTACTAATCAAAAAAGGTCAAATAAGCCCTTATTTAGGAGGCTCTGTCCGGCCGTCGTCATTTGGGGTGGTTCCCGGTGGAATTTTTTGATGAAATTTTTTGAGCATCTTATTTACGTCTAGTTTACTCATACCTAATTTTAGCTAAAACTTCAATCGGGAAGGCATTCAAATGAATTCTTGAAGATAACTGTGCTTCTAATTGCGCAGTTATTTTTAAGAATTCATTTGAATGTCTTCCCGATTGAAGTTTTAGCTAAAATTTGGTATGAGTAAACTAGACTTGATGAATAAGATACTCAAAAAATTTCATTAAAAAATTCCACCGGGAACCACCCCAAATGGCGACAGCCGGACAGAACCTCCTAAATAAGGGCTTATTTGACTTTTTTTGGTTAGTACATGGGCCTATTTGCACCTTTTCTCATAGAAAAATGATTACACTGTATAATTAGCTTTGGCTCCCTATATAAAACTACCTATGGTATATCTACTCTTAACTTGTCCTCGGAGTCCACGTGGATTGCGGAATTGACCTTGACTTAGGTATGTTCGGGTAATGGTAGAAGTGGTTTTAAGTTAAATGCGAAATTCATAAGAATAATTTCTACTTTCGTTAATTCTACAATAATAATTGTTACTGAGAGTGTTCATTAAAATAATACCATGTATGAACTAGAAACAAGGTTCAAATGAATAAAACGGTGTGAATTCAAATTAATGTCCATTTAATTCTTGTAACTTTTACTCACACTTTATTCCTCGATTTTCTTTTGCGGATGAATTTAAATTAATGTCCGTTTGATCTCAATGTCATCTTCATCATAGGGTGCTAGACTGCTAGGGAAGATTGAAAGGTAGAAGTATTACCTGAGACGAAAAGTGGTGAAAGATAAAGTGGTGCTAGGGATTGAGAATATTAGATGGACGTTAACTTGAATTCATCTCAATTTATTTGTGTGAGATTCTCAATAAGGATTCTTATTATAGAATCCTTTAAAGTAGAGATTATTCTTACGAATTTTGTCTAAGTTAAATGATTCAATCTTGAGGTAGAGGTATTCTTAGAATATTATAATTGGATTGAAATTTTTGGAAGACCAAAATGAACACAAATATGAGAATCAAAGATGTGCCTAGGACTCTATGCGTTATTTGTCGACTAGATTTATTAGGAGACTGACAGTTTAAGCAAATAAACCCGATGAATATACATAAAGAAAAGTTCAAAGGTACACGACTACTTATTCTTATGCAGAGTTTTTGACCTCTTATGCTCATATTCTTCTGTTACCTGTCTTTTAAGTTAACAGTCTGTTCTCTGAGACATGTCTTAGATAACTCAGCCCGACCTAGACCTACTCGGCTACTCACATCCTAGCTGAGTCCAATCTCATGACACTAGCTACCCCAAGCGGGAAGGGGTGGTGCTTTGCCACTCGAGTACCCTGGAGACAGGGGCGGATCTAGCCCTAGGCCAGGGAAGGCCTAGGCCCAACCTAAAAAAAAATAAAATTACTAGTATATATATATATATATATATATATATATATATATATATATATATATATATATTATATAATTCTCTTATGCAATGATATAAAAATAAAGAAACTCAATAAATGTTCAAATTATTGTTTGGCAAGATGGAAGTAGACTGATTCACATGCTTGCGCATTAGGAGGTTGAAAGTTTTACACCTCCAGGGTTCGAAGCTCATCTAGAGCTTTTTTTTTTCTTTTTAATGGAGAGCTAGTGTACAAAATTTAGTTTCTTTCCTAAAATCTCTTTGTCCTTCATACGGAATATCTTTTTAAAACGGTCTTCTAATACCAGTTACTACAAGGCTAACACCAATTGATCTCAAATGTTAAATAAGCTAGATACTAATATTGTGAACACTATTGGTGTTTTTTAATATGAGCCTGAAAAATTAATTTGTTGAAAGTTTTACACCTCCAGGGTTCGAAGCTCATCTAGAGCTTTTTTTTTTCTTTTTAATGGAGAGCTAGTGTACAAAATTTAGTTTCTTTCCTAAAATCTCTTTGTCCTTCATACGGAATATCTTTTTAAAACGGTCTTCTAATACCAGTTACTACAAGGCTAACACCAATTGATCTCAAATGTTAAATAAGCTAGATACTAATATTGTGAACACTATTGGCGTTTTTTAATATGAGTGACGTGCACTTTGTCGTGTGTGCACTCAAAATAAATCGATACTAACACTTATACGTAGTATAGGTGAAGTAGAGTTCGTATCCACAGGGAAAGGGATAATTTATCTTTTTAACGAAAGGAGTAAATAAAGGGGGGTTTTGATTGTTGAGTGATTTAATTAAATTTAAACACGAAGATGAACGAGTTATATGGGATTAAATTCAAGAATAAAAAGGACTTGGTCTTGCTACTTTCCACTTGTTAATATATTTTAGTCGATCATTGTTATATCTATAACTTATCCCCTCTCGAATACTCAATCGCGGAGTATCTCCAATTCATCGAGGGTAGTTATTAACAACGACCGTTCATTAATAACCCTTACTATTTATCAAATATAGAACAACGCCGTATACCGATATAATAGTAGCATTTAACCTCTTTAACTCTTTGATGAAATCAATTGAGATTGATAACCTCAACACAACGGTTTCGGTTTAACCAACAAAATCAATCCCTCTTAAATTTATTAACCACGACCGTGCATTAATAAACCGAAGTTACTTACTTGTGAAACCATCAACGTTTAACCATCGGTTCGTTGATCGTTTCTAGTAATAATCAATGTCGGAACGTTAACTAATCGTCACTTAGCCACCCTGCAACATTAATATAGAATGAGGTTAAGGGAAGAATTAATAATCAAGAGGAGAAAGTAAGAAAATAACTCACAACTTTAATAATCAACAAGCTTCAAGAGCAAAACCAAGAAATGGAAGTTTAGCTCCTCATTTGGAGACTAAACATGCTAGAAGAAATATAGAGAAATGCTATTCTAAACTAAGCTTAAGAGTATAAAGGAATTGGTCTCTAAAAGTGAAGGAAAGGAGGTGTATTTATAGGCTTTTTTGAGGTGCAGGTCGGGTACTCGATCGAGTATATACATATACTCGATCGAGTATGTGTAGAAACTCGAATTCGGTCCATACTCGATCGACATTCGAGTAGAATTCATAGCTATACCCGATCGAGTATGTCGGTGTACCCGATCGGGTATAGACACTCGATTGTGGTAAAATCTTCCCTGCATGTTTCTTTGTTTTCGGATCCGATCCGATTTGAAATTTCAACAAGATACCCGATCGAGTATAGGTAATACTCGACCGAGTATAGACCAAAATCAGGATCTTCCCTTTTTGTCTTGTGATTTTGCACCTTCCTTCCACTTTTGGGGTTCACCAACTGTCCTTTGAGTGATGATAGACCTGTTTGAGCTCAGAATAAACCTAATCTAAACAATTTACAAGAATTTAACAAACTAAACTATTACACCGAAAGTGTGTAATTTCCGAAATGCGAAACAACAAAAAGTAACTAAAAATGCAAACATAAACACGGAAATTACACGTGTATCAATGAGCCTGAAAAATTATTTTGTTGAATTCATTGGATTTGGTAGGTGAAAATTAGTTCAAAATGTATGAGTTTGAGGTGTTTTTGCATTCCACAGAAATTCTTATTCCTCTTATATTTATTTTTGTTTTTGACATTTATGATGCAACAAATTTTATTTTATATTTGAAAATAAATCATGTCAAATAACATACTATTTTGCTACACTTTGACATTTTTTTGCAATCTACATTATTTAATTAAATTTTGGCCCCACCTGAATGGCGATGTTGGATCCGCCCCTGCCTGGAGATCCAGACTATCAACTCAAACGACTCATATTTTCTATTCCACATTAGGTCATAAGAAAATGGACCGAGGATTGTCACCAACCCAAAAAGGAGGTAGAGAAACTTTTCAGTCGAGTCAGCATGTTTGGCAACTCGAGCCTGGGTACAAAATGCAATGCCTAGCGGCAAATGGATGAAGTACCAACTCCAAACAATAGAAAACGTGAGATTGGCCTCATATCCGACGATGACGCTAATGACATGACATTCCATGGTTATACTCACTTTAGATTGGCCTCACGTGAGATTGGCCTCAATCTCTTAAATAGTACTCCGTATGAGAAATTTTATGGAGACCTATATAACTCCATTATAGGGTCATATAGTATATGTGGCATTATCAAAATTCTAGTATAAAAATAAACGGTTATTATGAGGTCACATTGACCGTATGACTTCATAAATTTTTTGTTAACGGTACTCGCATTTAAATATAGTCCTCGTGTTTTTAAATTTGTAAATGTGAGTCCTTAATTATCTAAATTGTTGGAAATATGATCCTGTGAAGGGTGACATTCACACATTTGGAAATATGAGAACTACAAAGGGTGTATTGTCTAAGAAATTAGTGGTAAAATTTTAAGGAAAAATCTGTTTGTACTCACTATTGTACCCATTTTTGTACCCACCATGTCTGTGAGGAGTTTTCTTTTTGTCTGTGAATCCTGGTCATAGACAAAATATGTCTATGAAGACATGGTGAGTACAAAAGTGGGTACAATAGTGGGTACAACAAGAAGAATCCAAATTTTAAAAGTACATGGATCGTAAAAGTTCAGGTGTATTGAATGTAAATTTTTGAAAGTGTAAGAACTCTAGGTGTATTCAAACTTTTATTCATTTTATGGACTTTTAACTCATTTTTAGTTCATTAGTTCTCTGCAATTGTCTCTTCTTCTTACAAAAAATTTCAGTAAACTTTTTCTTTTGTGTTCTACTCATCACAACTTACATAGATCTGGTTCCAGAATGAGACTAGACGTGACTACTTATTTTTCTAGGATTACAAATCAGGTAATTGCTCCTAGAATAGTACCGGGTCGGAAAGTGAGTATATACCGTGAGACAAGATGGCCTCGATATGCAAGGTTTGAAAATTAAATTCTGATTTTTTATTATCTATTTACGATAGATAAAAATGAACAAGAAGATTCTACATCAATACCGGTACATAATATAAGCTTGAAAGAAATTAAAAATGATTGTTTATTAATCAACTTACGAATAAAAATGCAGGGGCGAGATCGGTTCGATTCTTGAAAGAAAATTAGAAATCATTTGAACAACCAGTAAACAAATATTGGTTCTGTCTAGATTTTTTTCCTGAACCAATATAACAATCGATATCATATTGGTGTCATTCTTGTATATTGCTCTGTATCAGTTAATCGTTCACAAATAAAAATATATTTAATCATTAATGTGTTTCATTGTTAAACCACTGACACATAAAAGTTTAATCTAAACTAATAAATATTTAACTGTAAATATGTAAACAATTTTTAACAGGCTAAAAATCAAAAGAAAACAATTACTCCGTATTAAGAAGAAAAGCTCGTGCATGTATCCTCGTACCACATGTAGCAACAAGTGTAACCAGTGCATAACGATTATGATTCTTACACATTGAGTTGTGTAATGTAACAATTAAATAAAAAAGAGACCGTTAATCATTCTCCCAATTATTTGTTTTCTAATTAATAAAAATAAATTTGTATGCTCATGACTCATTTATTATTATAGAACTCCACATTGCTAAATGACTCATATTTGTTTCAAAAATTTTAATGTTTGCTTTCAATTATTTCTTTAACTATTTTTTATCATGGGGTGTTTGAAACTGATTCTGCTTTTGCTTCTTTTTTAAAGCAGAAGCAGAATCAGAATCAGTTTTCAGAAGTTGGTACCCCCAACTTCTAAAAAAATGATTTTGGGAGTAAATTAGAGCATCAGAAGTGCTTCTTAAAGGAGCGGAATCAGTTTTGAGAATCAGATCCAAACACTCCTCATATGTTACAGAGAAAGGATGACACCTCATCCCAACACCGATCGGACGGCACGACGGGAGGAAATTACTGGTGGACTAAAGCATAGCATTCTCTCCAAAATAGGATCATATATTCGATTTTCCTTAAATAGGGCTAAACTTTACATTTTTACTCTAATATAATAAATTAATATACTCATAGTAATTAATCTCCCTAGATCTCTTGCATAATCAATGTCAGTCTATTGATGACAGCTTCTCTTGCGAACTCCAGTGACGGCGACGAACAGTGGCAAGGTTCTGGCAAATGAGTGATAATGATTTGGAGAGGATTTTGTGACGGGAAACGGCAATCAGGGTTTAAAAGTTCATAGATTTAAAAAAACTGATTTATCCATGAATTTGTGCAAATTTAAGGACGTCATTATAAAATACACGGAGTATATAGATTTGAAAGTTAAAAGACTTCTTAAAAAAATGCACCACAATTCATATTAATATGCAATACACCCCTGCATTTTAATTAAATTGAAGGTCTTATTTTGGTCCTGCTGCGAGCAATTTCTTTAGAACTTTCTGCCGGAAACAGAACTGAGCCAGTGTAAGAGGGCAAGAGGCCACTATGAGGAACCCTACATTTATGAACACCTCCTGCGCTGTGGTCTGAATTTACGATTTTATCACAAAGATAAGAATTGATGGTTTGGCACGATCCCAGAACGATGGGGTTGAAAACCATCAAGGTTGATAAGAAATTTAAACTCTCGGTTGGTAAATTGAAGAGCAACGCTAATGACAGTATTTCAAATGGTAAGAAAACTGGGAGCGGGGGAAGAAAAGCCGGTGTTAACTCTTTGGAAGGTGAGCCTGTGTATGGAGCAAGAGGCGGGAAAGGAAAATCAAAGCATGAGGATGATGGTCGTATCAAAACTATATCTTCTGTTGGGAAAAGGAAGAGAACTTCTGGTAAGGAAACATCTTTGGATGATAATGCAGTTGCAGGGTTCGGGAGCAGAAGGTCTTCTTTAGGAAAGGACACGATTAAGCTTGAAATTAACACCGAGCATTCTAGAAAGAGAAGAGAAAATGGAGAATCTCCAGCTTCTAGGAAGACTGTTAAGGGAGATTCAATGCCAAGAGGAAGAAAATCTCCGGAAAGTGAGTTCTACAGTGAGAAGAAAACAAGAGCTAAACCTAAGACGACTTCAATGAAAGGTAATGACTTTGAGGATTCCATGAGAAAAGACAATGGTAAAAGGATATCTGAAGGTAGAACTAATTCGAGAAAGAAGGAAAATGAGCAAAAGGTTGAGCTTGTAAATACATTTCTTAAGAAAAATGTTGACTGCAAAAAGGGGTTAGCTGGTGATGTAGTCATAAAAGAGGGACCAAGGAAGAAAAATAAAAGAATCCGCATTGACCCCAATGATGGTTCAAACAAGAGGCTAGATGATGGCATGTCTATGAATGGTTAGTACCAGCAAGGTTTCTTTCCCCTTCATATTTGTTCAGCTTATCATGTACTCGTATGTTTTTATCATTCTTTTTAATTAGGAAAAGTTATTTTTATTAGGAAAACTCATCCTCCTTCCCTTTGTGTTTATCACTTTATCACTGTTCAAAGTTTCATTTGATCAAACAACTGATTCATGTGATGTGATTGGTTGTGTGGACTCTAGTAAAAAAAACACAACTAGTGTAATGTCAAAGTGATTTTTTTTATTTATTTGATGTTAATCATCACATTTTTTGCTTGCCTTCCAGAGAATGATAAACGTAAGAAAGAAGATATAGTGCAAAAAAGTAATAATGCTGAAATATCAAAGAATGCACAGTTCCGTGCCATTCTCCCCAGCCCTTCCATCCTTTCCTATGTGGAAGAGAATGTAATATATTATTCCCAGGCTTTGTATGTTTGAATTTCATACTCCTTTCCTCTTTTTATCTCTTTTTCTTTAACATAAACTATCTTTTTATGGATGTCCTACTGTTCTCATAGCTATTGGGCCGTAGGCGTGAAATTGAATTAAGAAGAGCGGGTTACAACGTGGAGCTTTCTGCCCCATTAGATAATATACCGTCGGTATCAAGCTCAGAAAGGCAACAGATTGAAGAACCGGTACATTTTAATTCATGCAAAAGATTATGTTCAATATCTTTTACAAAAAATTAAAAGTTCGCTTGGCAATGTTTTCGCTTACTATTATTGTATTCCAACCGTTCCAAAGAAGTGCCATATTCCAAAACTTATAGCCGTATAAGAGAATACTAAAGAAGCTATTTTCATTTAGTTCAATGTAGTGATATTCATATTTCGATTCATGTGATGTGATCAAGCTATTTTCATTTAATTCAAAGTAATTAAAAAAAAATCTCCAAAGTGAGTTAGTATGGTATGTATAGTTTAACAAACAAACAAAAAAAGTACCATAGATTGTTTACAAAAGTTTTTCTTTTATCTAACCATAAAGATTTATTTATCACTGAAACGGGCTCTTGTTTTGGGGATGGAGGGAGTAATTGAGTATTTAGTATGTTGGAGATTGCAATATTCTTGTCACGGAAACATATTCAGTTCTATTAATCAGAAAATATTGAGTTGGTGGTTATTCTTTTATAGTATTCATCTTCACCAATAAAAGGACATTAGAATCTAATCTTCTATATGTTGCATTGCATTTGAATTGATTCCATCTACAGGTATTCAGGAATAAATTGAACTTTTGCGCTGCTGCAAAGATTTCTTCATCTTTCCCCCCACCAGATCTCCCAGAAATTGCATTTGCAGGTTTTCTGCTTTATCATCTAATCATCAATATTTAGTGGGGTTTGTGTGGAAAGTTCTAATTATATGCAAACTCTTCTTTATACCTTTGTAAGTTCTAAATATCTTATGTAAAACTCTTACCTTGAATATGAATAGGGAGATCAAACGTAGGAAAATCATCTCTATTAAATGCATTGACTAGGCAATGGGGTGTGGTACGGACATCAGATAAGCCTGGACTAACTCAAGTAAATATCTCTTCTCTTATTTGACTAGAATATATGAACTCTAGTGCATTTGTAGTGACAGCTGACCTTGATGCAGACTATTAATTTCTTCAATCTTGGGCGAAAACTCTGTTTGGTTGATTTGCCTGGGTATGGTTTTGCTTATGCAAAAGAAGAAGTGAAGGAATCTTGGCAGGAGCTTGTGAGTATGCTAAGTAGATACAAAAGGAGTATTTATTAAAAGAAAATTTGGTTCTCTTTAACCTTTTGAAATTCAGGTGAAGGAGTATGTCAGTACAAGGGTTGGCCTTGAGAGAGTATGCCTTCTCATTGACACAAAATGGGGTATGAAGGCTATGGATTATGAACTTATAGAAATGATGGAAAGGTGATGGATATTATCTGAATGCTATTTTTTTATTATTTTTGGGTTAATTACAGTTACCTCCCATTAGTTTGGTTTAAAGTATAAAATGGTTCCTGATGTTTGTGTAAATTACAAACTGGCTCTTTGAGCGGTCAGTGTTTTTGGTGAATGACTACCGTAACAGCGGAATATGTTAGAACTTAGAATATAATTAAGCTAGCAGGAATTAAGGAGATGTTTACTTCGCTGCTAAAGTCACCGTTAGGTTAGTAAGACAGGCGAAGTAAACACGCACGCTGCTTAAAAGGTTGCTTACTGATCGAAAGAGGTGCTTAAAGTGTCGCTTACTAAGCATACCACCCCTCCATGTATTAATTAAGCGACACTTTAAGCTTTTTCAGTTTTCGAATTTACCCGTACCCTTTGCCCTTACCCTATTGTTACCCCTTACCAACCCCGCCCTACCCTACTACCCCGATCCCACCCTACCAACTACCTCCATCCTCGTACCTTACCCCTTACCCAGTTACCCCTACCCTACCCTCCCCCTGACCCTAACCACTTGCCCCTACCTCGGCCCAAACCCGATCCCAACCCCACCCTATTGCCATCCTATTGCCACCCCCTACCACCTCGACCCCACCCCGACCCTACTCTATTACCTACCCTACCCCCTAACACATGCCCCTACCTCGGCCCCACCCCGATCCCGACCCCCCCCACCCCACGAAGCCCTACCCCTACCTTACCTTACCCCGACCCACCCTGCCCACCACCCCTAACCACGACCCTACCCCTACCTTGACCCCACCATTATCCTGAACCCACCCTCCCACCATCCTACCCCCTTACCACCTACCCCACCCCTACCCTACCCCCTACCTCGGCCCCACCCCGATCCCGATCCCACCCTACCACCATCCCTACCCACCCCTCCTTATCATACCCCAGCCCTACCCTACCTTACCCTGACTTAGACCCCACCCCTACCCCGCCCCTACCCCTAACCATGACCCTACCCCTACCTCGGCCTCCTACCTCGGCCTCATCTTACCGCCATTCTACCCCCCCACCCCCTATCCCTTACCACCTACCCACCCCCGACCATACCCCTTTCCCCACCCCCACCCTGCCCGTACCTAACCCAATCCCTACCCCTTTACCCCCACCACCATCCCCTACCTTGACCCCACCCTACCCCATCACAACCCACTCCTAGCCCTAGCCCTTAACCACCCTACCCCTCGACCATAACCCCACCCCCACCTGTACCTCTTACCCTACCTCAACCCTACCCCGACCTCGACCTCACCCCTGCGAGTAGGGTAGTTGTTAGGGGTATAAGTGGGTTGTAGGGGTAGAGGGTAAGGTCGTGGTAAGGGTAGGGGTAGGGGTCAAGGTGTGGAATAGGGGTTAGGGTACTGGGGAAGGAATTGAGTGTTCTGGACCAACTCTTATATTTGTAGCAATATTGAGTTTTCCGGAGAAAAAATAATAATTTATACAACAAAATTCAGTTCTAAACACTTAGGACATGTTTACTTCACGGGTTACTAAACGATGCTTATTAAGGCCCGCCTTAATAAGCGCCGCATAAAATAAACAACGTTGTAAGATCCATGCCAGTCATTTTCATTTTCATTTACCCCAGTGCCGCAAAGGCTCCCACCTACGGTGGGGTAAGGGTAAGATCCATGCCAGTAATATCATAATATTATATCAACTTTCAGTTTGACTTGTTTCATACTGTATATGAATTGTATGAATTGTATGAATTGTATAGGGGTGCACACCGTGTATCTACTAGCTAGCCCTTCTATTTTATGCCCCCTCTTATTCAAAGCACAACATCCATGCCTTAGACCCAAAAGAGTTTGGGATCGGCTAACATGAACGATATTCATATCTCGGTTCATGTCATGTGATGTGACTAAGTGATATTGTTGGCAGTCATGTGTCTACCGCGGCATCCTTCTTCTTTATCCTGGCATGGGACATGGCGGAGTTCTCTTATTCATGTAAATTAGTTGGGTGTTTTACATATCTAGTCTAGTTTGTGTGCTGTCGAATATAATTGAAATCTTATTTCTTGTAACATTATGGATTCTAACGTGGTAATCGTTATGGCTTTCAGAGCTAAAACGAAGTACCAGATTATTTTGACCAAGAGTGATACCGTATTTCCAATTGATGTGGCACGCCGTGCAATGCAAATTGAAGAGGTGAATATAATTGGTTTTACTGATACGCATTTAAAGTTTTCAACTACTGATGTGTTGGGTAAGAAATTGTTTTCTTATGCCACCTAAATAATCTTGCAGAGTCTGAAAGCAAACAAGTCTGTGGTTCAACCTCTGGTATAAAGATAAAAACTTAACTGGATTCATGTATTTCTATTGATGCTTCTGTACATTTTCTGTGAAGATTCCCAAATATGTATATTTCTTGTGTTCCCTTTTCAGATGATGGTCAGTTCGAAGTCTGGAGCAGGTATCAGAAGTTTAAGAACGGCGCTGACTAAGATTGCCCGGTTTGCAAAACTGTAGAAGGTGTAATTTGTTTTAGTACTTCTATGTACATCCTGGTTGGGATGTGTTCTTCGTCATCATCATCAAACTACTCAAAAAAGGAATTACCAGGACAGCTTGGGTTTTGCCTTTTTTTTTTTAATTTTCCTAATCACTTTCCAAAATAGGGTTCTGATATTGATTCTACAAATTAGAATCAAGAGTTCTTTGAGGAGAATTTATGCAGTTAAAGGTGTTTGACATTGATTTTTCTATGTAGAAGTGAATCATGTTAAACTGTTCAGCAGAACTGATGTAATGTTATTCTGAATTTTCAGGATCATTGGCTATTTCGGTGAGCTACTTAAAATCACTTCTAGGAGTTCTGCCATATAGCAAAGAAACCGATTCTTAGAATTTCAATATTTGCTGCCTGAAATAACATAAAAATGTCTTAATTAGGCAGAAACAAACGCCTGCTCAATGCCTCAAACGTTAAGTGATCGCTGGAGGGCTAGTTTACATGCATACCAACACATTCGAGCAGTAGGATGGATGCAAATCCCGCAGACTACAAAAAAGAAGAGACTATCCTTGACTCTCACATTGCTTTGGGTGGTTCAGAATGGCAATTTGTTTTTGAATTTTTGGTCAGATTGGTAGGCAATTGTTGATGCTTCACATCCCTTATGACCCTGCTTAATTTGTTAAGCAAAAGACTATTCCTCTAATTTCATTTTGTGTTTTCTATTTTGATCTATTCCATATTATTTATATCTTTCCTATTTGGTCATATTTAGTGGTAAGCAATCGATCATATAATGAATTTGATTGATGTCAGCTGCACAGCTTTAAACTATCCCCTTGTCCCCTTAGTGGGACAAGTGATTTTGCACTTGATTTTCAAAATACTTGATGGGTGCTCCCATTTTATTATTAGAATTGAGCTTTTCACTCCATTCCTGCACATATTTTTTTTCTTTTTTAAACTAGTGAGATGCACATATTAATATAATTGGAAATTGGATGTGATGTCTAATATCACTTAAAGTATGGGGTGAAAAGTCTAACCGTTCAAAGTATGGAGTGTAAAGTTAAATTGTCTACCTTTTTGTTAGTACTATTCCATTTCATGAAAGTTTTGGTATAAAACATACTATGTTTTTTCACTGTTATTCCTCATAATTTTGATACTTTTAGTTTAGGAAATTGTCCTAAGAGTAAAAACATTCTGGAATTTCAAAACAGGATAATTATTTTTCTTCTTGAAATAGAAGTTGTTACTGACATGATTGAAAAATACTGTCAATGGTAGTAAATACTGGTATGTTTTTTTTTGAAAAGGTAAATACTGGTATGTTAATCTCTAGTACTGCAAGTATTATGGCAGTAATGCTTCCAATAAATATTGCCATTATACTCCTATTTCGGGAAGAAAAGCATATAAGTACAATTTCGGAATTCTAAAATTTGTTTACTCATATTTTTGGAACTTTTCCTCTTAGTATTTCGGGAAGTTTATTTACTTTTTTGGAAAATAACATATTAATTAGCATTAATCAAATCATTGTGCAATAAATCAATAATATAAAATCGGGATTCAAAATTCGAATTCGATATTCAAATAAATAACCGGCCACTCTAGCTCAAGTGTGAGCAACCTCATTCGCAGAACGTCTAAGGTGAGAGAAGGAAATGCTTGAGAATCCTTACTCGTTTCTCTTATATCATCAACCAAAAGACCAATTGAGGAAAAGTTTGAGATCTTTTGTATTTCAGAAAGTGCCTGAATGACATTTGACTCCCATCCATTTGGCATCACCTTAGATTCTTCAAGTTTAGTGCCTCCTGTATTTCAACTAATTATGCTTCCAGCGTAGAGCACCGCGCCACCGCCCCAGCCAAGGCAATGGTCCCTGCAAGAAACTCCATGTATCATTCTCGTATAGATGCATCAACGCTGAGCTTCACTCTACCCTCAGCCAAATGCTGTCATGCTGAAGGAGTATTTTGCCTGAAGCCATCCCTCAACATAAGTTTTCGATCTATGCACCAAAGTCCTCAACAAACTAAAATCGAGCATTAGGTCCTTGATTGTTTTTTTCTATATTTACGTTTACTTTTAAGTAGTTTTTAGTTTTTTACGTGTGTTGTTATAGTAATTGCACATTTATGGTGCGATCTTTAAGGTACAAAATCATCTCATTTTTTAAATAAAAACAATCACAAACACTCTAAGTCATTTCATAACTTGATGATGCATATAAAGTCATAAGTTATGACTTTCGTTAACAGCCCTAAGCAAGATTTATAAACTATTTTCATATTATAAATGAAGCTAATAATGAACATTAAACATATGTAAAATGCAAAAATAACTAAATATTATAAGTATCTTTTACTTCGTTAATATTTCTTTCATCTTGTTAAATATATCAAAACCTCATAGTCAATTTTAATAATTTCGTACCTTTTTACAGTGTCATCACCACAATCTTGTTATGATTTTATTATTATTCCGTTCAAAACGATCTATCGTAAAATTGTACTCCGTATGATTTAGTAGGAAACTTTGATACAGATTACAGAGCAAGAACTTGATTCGCGCAGACAAATATACTACGTAGTATAAAAAAATGAGTTTTTATTAATTTTCCAACAAATACAATAATAGTGCTATAAGTGAATGAAAATTGCGGAAGCATCGGATACCAGGACCAACATCCACCCATTCATCCATCCTAAAAATGTTACATTACAAAACTGTGACCAATTAAAAAAGTAATGAACAGGCAGACATCTGGACATCTGGTGAGGCAACTCATCATGGGCTACAAACATAGCAACAGATTTCAAAAAGCAAACTCTTCTTCCTCTTCAACCTCATTTGACACTACTCTACCCGTGAAGCTTCTTAATGTTTCTGCCTTGGAATCACTTATATCCAGCAAGTACTGTAACCGAGAGACCTTTTCAGTTGCCGGGTTGCTTTGAAGATATATGACAAAGAGATCAGCAACTTCCTCCGGCAATTCCCACGATAACGGAGTTGAAGGGACAGCCTTGTCACATGCTAACAAGTCATTGAGAGAAGATACCTACCATACCAAACAAAGTGAGATAAAATAAGAATTAATACTAAAACATGCATTAGAAATATAGAATAAATTTAACCAAATCGGGCAAAGATCCCAGTGAACTATTATTGCTGTTGTTTATCCCTGGAATTAACAGTTTTTCTTTTCAGTGCCGTTGTCAACTTCCTGTTTTGAAAAATGACATGGCTCACAAACTCCAGAATGGCCTTTCCACATTAACTCTAACTTATCACCCAACTATGGGAGTTACAGCTGAGAAAGACTAGTCATTCTCACTCTTTCATTTATACCTGTCTGCTTCTTTTGAAATAAAACACGCATTTTTCAAATGAAAAACATGCCACAGAGAAGTCATACTAGAGTTCTATGAACCATGAAAGATTCTTAAAACAACTATGCTTCGTGTACACACCAGTTGTGCATGCCATTTTACACACCGGCCATTTGTCTGTACACAAACAATTTTTTTTGTTTTGTAAAGAGAGTTGTGTTCACACCGACAAAAGAAAACAATTGTTTGTGACGTTCACTTCTTAAAAAATGGAGTTTAAGGACTAAAAGAAAAGATGGAGTTACAAGGAAGAATAACAAAATATAATCTATTGGAACCTAAGAAGCTACCCTATATTCACATGGGCGAAAACACAAATTTAAACAAAAAAATAAAATAAGAAAGCATACACAGTATTTAATATTTTGCATACCACTCCTTTCTGGTTTCTCTGCCTAAGAAGTGCCACTGCCTGAATGAGTGAATTTGATAGCCTAGTACGGGCAAGCTCCTGCACGACCCTTTTTGCCTTCACGGGGTTAATATTCAAATCTGTAGGGATCTTCTCGTACACCTCTTCTTCATCAAACTCTCCAGTACCCGAGGAAAACACATCATCCACTGTTTTTCTGAACAGATTTTCGCGTAAGCTCACAGAGATCATAGTGTTTATATCAATCCCAGCTTCTTTCAATTCTCTTACTTCTTTTACACTTAACCTTCCCTGACCAACAGCAGTTTCAAGTGCTGCACCCAGTTTAGTACTCGTTATGCTCTGTATGATCTTTTGTGCATAAGGAGGTGGCAGACCAACACTCTTCTGAACTTCATTCAGTTGTTCCATCTTGGACTTCGTTAACTGTCCATCAGCTAAAATAACCTCTGCTTTTTGCCTAAATGCTTGCTCAGCCAAGCCACGATGTATGTTGACTATCTCTTTATCGGTCAACCCAAGGATGACTCCCAGCTGGCTTAATAAGACAAACTCAGAGTCATCCCGCTCGGTAGTAATTTGTCCACCGAAAGGAATCATAGTAATTTCTCCGGATAGACAGTACAGCAAGTATGTTTTGTAAAGGTCAGATCTTTCACTCTCCGGAAGGTCATCTTTCAATGTTATCTCGGTCTGGACGTCTTTTTTTAAGTTTTCGCCTCTCGGCCTTACTTTCTGAAGTGATTGCATGGATTCCCATTCCTCATCCTCGTATGAATGCTTCTCTTCATTATCCTTGATAGGTTCCCCCTCCTGTGGAGGATCAGATGTTACTTCATCTTCCCCTTTGATATCTGCAACCAGTCTGGTAACAACCAGGCTATTAAATGATATCATCTTTTTCAATTCTTTTGCAGAGTCAGTGCGGTTTCCAGCAGCTCGGGCCTGCTGAACATAGTTGATAAGCATCTTCCGTACCTGCACAAAATCCACGTTGTGATATATTCGATGTGAACTTTTGTAGTGTTCACATCGCAGCAATCGAAAGTTCAAGCAATAAACTACATAGTGTTCAGTTTGAGGGAAGTAATGGCCCATTGGGGGCGGGGTCGTTTCCACTTGCATTGGGTAGGAAAAAAGAGGGATCTGTTTTAAAAATCTCCTTCCCTTCCCTATTAACCCTCCTCCTTTCTGAAATTGGCAGAATTGGAAGGAAAATAGAAAATTTGAAATTTCCATGTGGCCTATATTACCCTCTTGAATAAACACCAAATATGTTAGTAAATCAGTACTGCCTGTGTCTCCGTAAAAGGCCAATTTCCTTACTTCTCCATACCAAAATAAGGTTCCTTCTTTTGAAGGAATGATTTTTGGGTTTCAAATTATTTCTCTCCCCTGCATTGGGTATTGGGTAAAAAAGAGGGATCTGTTTTAAAAATCTCCTTCCCTTCCCTATTAACCCTCCTCCCTTCCGAAATTGGCAGAATTGGAAGGAAAATAGAAAATTTGAAATTTCCATGTGGCCTATATTACCCTCTTGAATAAACACCAAATATGTTAGTAAATCAGTACTGCCTGTGTCTCCGTAAAAGGCCAATTTCCTTACTTCTCCATACCAAAATAAGGTTCCTTCTTTTGAAGGAATGATTTTTGGGTTTCAAATTATTTATCTCCCCTGCATAATTGTTGACCACAAATTTTCATTGTTCTTAATTTATTGTAATATTATATTATAATTTATTGGAATCATTGACAATATAGAATTATTAATATTTTATTACATAAATTACGGGAATTAGGTATATCTGTCTATTTATCATTATTATCTCTCCCCTCTCAGCCCTACTCCACATCCACTTTATCCAAATGGGGTAATATAATTGAAAATCCCCCACTCTTGCAGCCAAATACTGATGGGGAAATCATACTTTTAGTGTCCCATTTGTGTTGACATTTGATCAGAGATTACAGAAATTTAAACAATTTGACGACTAGATGTGCAATTTTCTTGACATTTTATAGTTAAGTCATGCACAACTTTTGCATATGACACGCAACAATTTGCAGGTTCATTAGTTACTTACTGCTTTACTAGCAATTGACAATGCAGATTCCCTGCTTATGCGTAAACCATAAGCAGCCTTTCTCACAGATTTC